GAAAGATGATAGGTAAGATGGATAACCAATAAAGGGCCATGAAGGGGAGGAAATGTATTTTTATATTTGATGTGATAGGGAACAGAAGAGATGGTAGAGGGTCATAATGAGAGAGGTAGCAGGATTAAGATGACAGGCTAGAAATTTGATCTGAAATTCTGGATCGCCGTGAGTGAGGCAGTTTGTTAAGGCCAGAGGAAAAAGATATTGCACTAATTGAGACACTGGGTGACAAGAGCCTGAATAAGAGTCTCAACCATGCAGCATCTTGAACATGGTTCAAAATTGGAACTCTTTGATTACTTTTGCCATATGAGGCAAAGAATTGTATTTATTATATGGCTTGAGCAGTGGCTAGGACAATGAGGCCCAGCTTCATTTGGCATTTAGGGGTTAGTCTAACCAAAATGTTAAATAATAATAATTCACAGCTATGACCGCATTGCTACCAATCTCTGCCAAGATAAAATTTCTTGTAAAATTTCACAAATGTGTGCTGAGTTCAAGGTGATGATGGTGAAACTGACAGAGGTCATGAGCCCTCTGAGATTCACTTATAGTTTAAACTTCATAACAATAAGTCAGGCTCAGGATGTGATATCAGGATGGCTGCACAAGCAATTTGCTGCACAAGCAAATTGTTCATCTGAATTCAGAATTTTTATATGCAGTTCCTTCCCCAGATATCACCTGCTAAATAATATAAACAGTTATAAACACCTCATTCAAATCTGTTGAAATCACTGGAAAATTTCCTATTTAACTTCAGCAGTCTTTGGAATAGAGCATGAGTTTCTAATACATATGTAGAGGGGCAGTTCTTTCTTCAAGTGCACTCTGAGTGGCAGGGATGTGCACAGGGCATTAGGACAAGGAGAGGGTAGAAGTGAAAAAAATCCTCCTCAATAAGGAGGATTTCATCTGGGATGAAATCTTGGCTGTGCTGAAGTTTTGGGAATTTTGCCAAGGTATATCACTGCTTTGACATTTTTAATAAGCCTTTGTCATGTTTTATGCTTATGACACAGTATTACCTAGGATATCTTGTATTTTCCCTTTGACTTTTTATTCTGCTATGTACTTGAAGCCTTTTTGAGAACAAAATGTCGTGTAAATGCCTTACAGGCTCTTTCTTTTGTACTGACCTTTTTATGACTTAAAAGAAGTCTCCCAAAGCCCAAGTCTGCTTTCTGTCCTGAGTATTGACCTCAGAATTACATCACCTCCCCACTGTTGTGTGCAAACTTCTCAGTTCTCAGACTTCACCCACAGGAGTTTTCCTAACTCAAAAACAGTCTCTCTTTTTTTTTTTTTCCCCTTCCTCATTTTTAATCTCACAAACTCAGTGTCTCTATGAATGTTTTGTCTGCTTGATGGTAAAAATTCTGCTTTGAAATGGAATATCCTTTATACTAGGACAGTCATAGTATTTTGTATCTGAGACAGACTTTGCTGTGGGTTTTTTATGCTACCTATTCATCTGTGTGAATTTGAGCTGAAGTGTCTGCCACATCTGACATTAAAAAAAACAACAACTTTTTCTGAAGTGGTTGAAGTTGTATCTTTCATTGTGATGGTCATGGGGCATTTGACCCATTACCCTGCTCCATCCTTATTGGAGAAAATGTATAAGGTTCCCTAAACCTTATTGCATCCACTGTACTGTGACTGTTGCATGTGAAAATATGAATGACGATGCTGTTTTTTTCTAAATGCTTACCATAAATGGTGACAAACTAATTATCCTGTACTAAAAACGAAATGTTCTATGTTAATGTCATTCACCATGGCCTTTTTTTTTGTTAACAAATCTTTAAGTGAAAAAAAAAATAAAGGGCACTCAATTTGCATAAGCCTATTAATGTTGTTGCCTTCACATTTATGGTGTATGGTCAAGCCCAGAATGGACCAAGGATGTATAGCATAAATTAGGCTTTATGTAGACAAGTGGTAGACCTGTATGTTTCTCCTTTTCACCTCTGTGAGCCTGACTATCCCTGCCAGTTCAGCCTAAAACTCTCTTGGGCAAAGATTGCCATTCATGGTGAGGTGGAACAAAGTGAATTAGTGTGTAGATTAAGCAAATGAATTCCTAATGCTCTTATATATATTTATGGTGCACCCTTATCTGACCAAATTGAACAATTTTATTTTATAAAGTAGACAAGACCTATAACTCTGTTTATATATGCGGTTACAAAACACTGATGTGACTATTGGCAGCATAGAAGGAGCCTGGGGCTAAGATTTTCAAAAGAACCCATATGAGTTAGATTATGTTCCATTCTATATAAATTCATATTCCTTGTTCACCACCATAGTATCTAAGTATTTTTCCAGTAGTGCATTAAGCAACATGCCTAATACCTGTCACATGTTGTTTGTTCTCTTATCCTCTCCCCACAGGGAAAAGTGTGTATAGTGGAGTGTCTTGTGCTAAGGGGCTTATGTTTCTCAAATCCCACTGAATTTCATGCAGAAGTCGTTCCTATACATGCCTTCTGTTTTTATCATTTTAGCTTTTGTCATTCATGAAATGCAGTGAGATATGGGCATCACCACTTAAGCACCTTAGAACAATCTCAGACATATTGTCCCTAAATATTATGGGAAACAGTCACTATTAAGGGATTTTGGAACTCCAAAGCAGTCTTACTTACCACAGTTGTTATTGCAACCTTAAAATGGGAATAAAAATATTTGTATGTACTAAGCACTAACTTTAAATTAATAGCAGATACCCAGCTCTTTGAATAGTTTAAAACATTTGTCATTTGTCTTATCTTTCAGATCTTTTTAACTTGTTTGATTGCCTGGTAGAGGTAATTTGAGGGCCTGGTTCAAAGCCACTTCAAATAATTTGTATTAATCCCTTTGCCTTGAGTAAATTTCCTTCAGAAGCCAAATGAATTTAGGTCTAATGAATGAGTATTGGAGTAGTGTAAACTGAAGTCTTCTGTCTGCACAATACAGTGTGAATTGTGGTAATAGAAACTTTCCTACTTTCTGCTACCAGGGTGCTCTAAGAAAACCATTTCCAGGGTTGAGAGAGCCAATTTAGCGTTTGATATTTGCGGCCTGACTTAATTGTGTTGTAGTTAATATGAAGAGTTCCACTGGCTTTATTAGGTCTGAGATCAAGCCTTAGATCCTTGGTCTTCACTGAGATGATTAAAACAAGGGTCAATTATGGTCGTGGTATAAGCTGGTGGGGAAACTCCCCAGCCATGGAAGTTGTACTAAATATCCAAACACCTATTCAGTCTAAGGTAAGGTTCTTTTTAGGCAGATTGTACTTCCGAACAAAAGTTTGAAAACAAGGGGAAATAAAATCAAATGATTGGAGGTTAACAAAATATGGTCAGAATATTTTCTGTGGAAAAAAATTGATATTTTATTAAAAAGTGAAGAATCACAAACTTCAGGGGAAAGCACAGACTTTCTGCAAAAATCTTCATTATATTGAAACATAAGTGAAACATCTGCAAAAAAAAAAAAAAAAAGTTTTGCTGGAGATTTTTTGACCAGCCCTAGTACTAACCAATATGTTAATAGGGAGGGGAGATACTTTTCCTTTTGTGAGTGCTTGCTGGCCACTTAACAGCCACTCCTACTGTGACTTCTGTGACCTTTGACCACTTCAGTCGGCTGTTTCTGCCCTAGTGGCAGGAAGGCTTATATCTGTCTTCCTTTAGGTCACTTGCTTGTTTTTAGTTCTGTGGCCTATAACTATAGGTACCAGTTTTAAAGGACCCCAAGCTTGAATGGGTACAGTGGGATGCTAGCATATATCCAAAGGTCACTTTGTGTGCACTTTTTATGATGTGGATACCTGATTAATAAGACCTGGAATGAGATCACTGTTGTATTTCACAAAGGACACCTAACAGTCATTAGATGGTAATAATGAATTTTGACTACAATTATCATAGCCTGTAATTCATTTGGTAACTGATAGGTAAAAGACTGGGGCCCAAAGACCTCTTATATTAGGGAAGTTGTATTGGAAACCTGTATCGTATCCCACAGAGCATATTTTTAGCTTTTTGTTTAGGACCTAAACATTGTATCTGTGATTTTCATAACCGCATGGGGCATTTGAGAATTGAACTTCCTAATCCTCCAGACACCTTTTAAAAATCTTTTCTTGTAGCAGTTTACTAGACCTACAGTACTCAGTTAATAGTATTTTTGTTATTAGAGGATAAATGTTCGTGTTCCACAAGCAAATTATATTTAAAAATGTTATACCATTGACTAGATTTCTGGCCGTAGTTTAAGGCATTCTTGTGGCTTCTTAATAGCGTAATGTGAAAGGGATACACTTTAGTAGGATGTGGTGCCAGCTTTTGCAGTTCATATGGCTCTTGAGTGCAACTAAAAATAATAAGAATCATGTCTTCATTTAACTATCCTGTCCTCTATACTGCTGGTGACTGCTCATTTCTGACATACTACAAAAAATGGAACCAAAGACCCACTTGCTTTTGCTCTTTTTTAAATTCACAACTTAGTGTTTTTTACAACACTCTAAACCAAAAGAAAACTCAGCCCTATCACGTAACTAAATCCCCCACAGTTTTAGGTTGAATTAGGCCAGCAGAGCAGCACATGTATGTGAGGGCAAATGCTGACAATATGGGCAAAACCGCTCAGAAGTTTCCCACCAGACTTGGTGACACAGTCATAGGTTGGATGTGATTCAACTGTTTGGTTTATTTTCCCCATGGGTGTAGTCTATTTATTGCCTTTGCTAACAAGTCAGCCTTTTTGTATGTCTGATGATACTTCAATATAGTGTGAATAACAGATAGGGTGAAGCACACAGTAGGTGGGAGGAGGTGGGTGTGGGGTGGGAAAAAGGGGCAAGAGAAGGAGGTTTGGGACTTGAATAACCTTTGCAAGTGTCTTTCCATCTCTTTAGCTGCTTATAACAGATGAAATTTTGATAGTGATTTGTGCAGATAATGATTTAACCCAGAGCTTTATTCTTTCCACAGTGGGTAAGCCTCACAAGTGTAACTACTGTGGCCGGAGCTATAAGCAGCGCAGTTCATTGGAGGAGCACAAGGAACGCTGCCACAACTATCTGCAGAATGTCAGTATGGAGGCTGCTGGGCAGGTCATGAGTCACCATGGTGGGTGGAAATGATGCTTAGGAATCTCTAGTGCTTTGGAGTATCTTTTCCACTTGTTTCCTTTATATATACATATTAATTATTTTAGCTTTAAATTAACCACCTTCTTTCTGGAAAAGTTAAGCACAGATATTTACAAGAAAGGGAGAAAATCTTCCATGAAATCCTAATCCCTTTGAAGTTAGCAGCAAAGCTCCATTAACTTCAGTGGGGTCAGAATTTTTCAGGGTTTTTTTGGATAAGCATGCATGTGTAATAACTTTTTTGGGTGTATTTTATGCTTAGTATATATGCTTAATGTAGGTATAATATATATCTATGTGCATGTGTATATATGATCTTAAAATTAAAATTCAGCCAGGAAAAACAATGAAAAATTGACGAGGCTAGGCACAAAAAACTCTTCTATTTCTGTCTTTTATCATAATGACTGATCATTATGAAAACATTAACAATTAATAACATTCACAGCAACAGTGTTATACTCTACAGGAATTTCCATAATTGTTCAAGATTGAAAGTGATGCATATACGTGCATACATACATTTGGTATATTTATCATATGTGTAAGATGTATGTATGTATTTTTATATAATAGTCATGACAGCATTGTGCGTAAATAGTACATTGAAAAAGAGTATTGATGCTTTTCATGTGGAATAAAAGGATTTGCAAAACAGGATATTAAATGCTGGGAATTTCAAATGACATTTTATTTAAAAATCTACTGTACCTTTAAAAAAAAAATTATGCTACTGAACTGCAAAAAGGATGATATATCAAGTCATAGGAATATAATATTCTCTCTATTTATAAATATTAAAAGATTCAAAATGCCAAATCATAAGACAGTATTAATTTAAATTTGTATAAACCAATTTCTGTTATTTTTAAATTGTAATGAAATATTTTTATTTTTCAAATTATTTTATTTATCTTTTTCAGTTTTGCCTATAAGAAACATCAAAAGTGACAATTTTTTCTTTTTCTTCAATCATACTATGTGCCTTACCAAAATTTTCAAATGAGATCTTGCAGAAAAATGAAAGAAATAGAAAAAGAGGAAACAACTTGGGTTTTTTTTCTTTCTTGTTGGTAATATGCAACTTTCTATTGGTCAGCTTTGTCATACAATATAGTTTTTTAAATTACTTAAATTTTTGAGGAATAATTTTCAAAAACTTCAAATGGGAAGCTAAAACAAAAAGATACTGAATATAAAATAATTGATTTTAGTTGACAGAGGAAGGATTCATGAATGACTGAGATGGTCTTCCCCTTGAAACAGATTTGCACAGTTACAATAAGGGGCTAAAAGTCCATCCGTGAGAAATGGATTAATGCAAAGAACCCCTACACATTTGCTTCTCTCCCTTATTATGATGCGGAAGATATTTTTGAGGGTTAATATTGTTATTGTGTAATTGCGTTGCCATTTCAGATATACATTTAGGTAGGTCAGTAGCACACTAGATTTTTTTGCTGCATCGTTTCATAACTATTTATTTACTAAGAGCTTTAAGGGAATTACTAATGAGACCACATAAAGTCTATTTCTTAGAATGACAGCTTATATTATCAATGGGCCATCGCATATTTACATAGGTCTGTAAACCATAGTAATAGGACATCTTCCTATGATCTTCAAACCACTGTGCAGGGTTGGCTTAAGGATTTATTGAAAAGATCAGTAGGCAGATTCTTTGGGGCAGTGCAAAAATTAAATCAGCAAAATGGAAATGGTGTTATGAAAATGTTGGGGTGGGGATTTTTTTGTCTTAACCAGTATCTCTCTGTAAGCACCCAGCTGGTTGTACTCAGTCCCATACAATCTTGCCAATGATTAACATTTTTTTTTCAAGAGTGAATTATTCTAACAAGCTGGGGGCAGCCCCTGGAGTGTTGTTTATGCGTTCTGCTCAATTTGGTCCATTTATAGCACATTACAAACATTTACTCATGCATTCTCACAACAGCCCTGTGAGGCCCACAAGTACAATTATCTCTGTTTTACAGATAGATAGATCACCTGACAAAAGCCCCGAAGGGAGTTCATGTCAAAGCATGGGTTAAAGGGCAGGAATTTTTCACATCCAGTCCCTTCCATGATCCATTCTAGAGCTGCCTCATCTTGTGGTTGTAGACCATAGTGCTTGCTCAGCAAAGCAATTTGCTCATTTGCAAAGGCTACTTGCTGAAAGAGGGTTGTGATTGTCTTAATGCCATCAGTACTATTCTTAGTGACACTTGCCCTTCTCATTGACAAGTGGTCAGGGAATTTCAAGTTTAATAGGATTAATGGGTCATCGCCATAGGTGGATATGAGAGCCACCTACACTGGACGCCAATAGTGGTAATCATAAATAATCTTTAATGTTCAGGAGAAATTGGAAACAGGGTGCACTGAAAAGAAAGAGAAGCACTTAAAATATATGCATCAGGAATACTTTTATTTTAAGACTAGTCCAGCCTTTGGCTCCGTACACCCTAAAAGCTGGCTCACTGTAGTATAAGCAGCATGTTTATGATTTTATTCCTATGTATTTGTGGTTTAAATGTTAATCCCAATGAAAATTTCCCGCCAGAGATCTATGAACTTATTTTCCTATCATTCCTTAATATCAGAATTGCAGGCTGAAAAAAAGACATAGTCAAAAGGTGGCTTTGTAACTGGAGCAAGGCTGATTTACACCAGCTGGGGATTTGACCCCATGTCAGCTGTCTGTCCTCAGAGACGCAGTCACTTTGGTTATGCAAATTCCTTGGTTACTTAAATTATGCAGAAAATCTTATTAAACGGGCATGATTAATACAGTTGAAAATAGTAGGCACCAACAAGTGTTCTGAGTCCAGTCTTTTGATATCCAGTCTGATGCTTTGCGGATGGAGAGTGGAAGACTGGAAACTCAGAGGCCCAGCCAAAGACTGGGCTGAAACACTGGGCTAACAAGAGCTTTTAGTGTTACTTTTAAGATCCTCTGTTGAAGTTATCAGAGGTAACCAAGCATTTTTGCTTAGGCTCCAATCTAGGAAAGCAGCTAAACTTTTGCTTAAGTTCATCCTTAATCAGAAAGATGCTTTTAAGATGCATGTGCTGTATGATGCATACATGCATTAATTATAAAACAGAGGTACTTTCCTGAATATGGGCCTCAGTTGTGAGCATGTAATAACTTTTTGTTTGTCTATTATATAGAATTAGTATTGTCTAGTTAATTTGTAGAGTTGGTTTTCTTTTAACTTTGAATTACATTGACTGAAGTCAGAGCTGTCCAGTTGGCGACCTGTGGGCCACATGTGGCCCATGAGCAGTTAACGTGCAGCCCCAGCCCTCCCTTCCCCCATCTCTTATCCAGACATCATTCCCCCTATCGCTCTGGCTGCTGCTACAGCCAGGTTCTCTGGGCTCCTTCTATCCCCTGGCTTTTGCTTCCTGCTTCTATCCCGGGAAACAGGATGGTGCAATCCATGGTGCTGGGGGAGCTGAGGTGAGCGCCATGTACACTGCTGGGGATAGGAGTGACCATACAGTAGGGGGCATCTGAGCACATATGTTGAAATGCGTCTCCACGCCAATGGCTTTCACTAGTGCATCTCTGGGGCGCACAGCCCTCACCCACTTAGAAGCTGGACATCCCTAACTTAAGCTATCGACTGATTTTTCTTAAAATCAGAATCAAAGCAAAAGATAACTTGTGTTATATCATCATGCAGGAGATGGGTCTCTGATTACCCACCTGTCAGATTTTCTTAACGTATGCGCTATATGTTTTGAAGTTGTCAGGGCAGGGGGTGAAAAAAAGGTCTTGCTTTGACTTTTTGAATACAAGATGTTTAGCTTAGGTTTTAAAGTTTCCATTAGGGCATCATCTAACCAATCTAATCTTGATTTGTATGTGGTTTAACATATGTAGATTCCCCCTCCCCCTCTCCCCCAAAATCTGCATAACAAAATGTGTTATGGTAACTTAGCTTCACAGTAATATAAATATTGAAATGAGACGCACATTATAATGTCTCTGGAACTCTACTGCATTGGCAAAAGTCTCTTGCCCTAATACAGTGGTGATCAACGTTTTTGGCAGGCATGTGCCACAAGTTAAACCTGGCCAATCCCCTGAGTGTTGTTCTCTCTCTACTCACCATGGTACTGGATAGAGTTTGCTGGAATGGTGGCTTGGGGGGAGAGGGGCTCAGCTCAAGACCCTGAGTTTGGCTGCAGGGCTCCAGGGAATGGCTAACCTGGCTGTTGGTGGTGACCCCTGACACTTCTCACTCCTGCCTCCATTCTAGCACCTAGGGCTTGCATGCCACACACACTAACTGTCCATGCCATTGCCATGAGTTGCCCACCTCTGCCCTAGTTCAGTGGAGAGTGGCCTTGTTGTTAAATTAGCATATTGAGTTGAGCTCTGATTTTGAATATAGGGCAATCTTATTTTAATATCAGTTTCAAATATGTGAAAGAATATGGTCAATTGATAAGTGATATTCCACATTGTAGTCAAAGTTAAATCCTTATTTATATAAGACGCTGCTAGTTGCCCTGTGCCTTTAAAAAAATCTCCCCTTTAAATTTTCAGTAAATGAGCAAGCCTAACAAGCTATCCAAATAGTCTTCCTTATTCCAGCCTGCATATATTATCCCTGGCCTCTTAGCCTGCTCTGGATATTAATTAGGTCACTTACACACCACACATCATGTTTCTTAAAACACTAGGTTTCATTTTGTATTTATGCTTTTTCTCTTCCATTTATTTTCACTGGTGCCAGCAGGATACACTTGTAAATGAGAAACCATTGTGTTTCTCAGTGGGAGTATCCTGTAGAAATAAAAGCGCAGCAGAGTAAATCATTTTATAGCATATGCTGTTTTCTAAGACTCAAAGCAGCTTTCTGTAGCAGCAGAGGCACAAAGGGAATCAAATGAATAAATTGTCATGTTTTCCTGCTTTGAATATCTGAATTGGGAACTTCACCTGAACAGATATTTTGTTTT